TACCCATGCGACCCAGGGTGTGCGATAAAAGTAAAATAGTCGCAAATGGATGGAGCGCTCACCTCTTTCCACTCGCCACCGTGCAGGAAAGAGAGCGGAAGAGGTGCGCGACCCCTCTTTATACCCGGCTACCAACAAAGAAAAGCATGGCTCAGTTGCGAGTCCTAGTGGAGTGGAGGCAACCCTGACCAGGCATGTGAATTAACTTACACATGAACCAAAACATTTTGTGTAATGATTACATCCTGGTTACATTCTGGGTACATATTACATCCCGGTTACATTATGAGTAATTATTATACCGCGGTTACACTAAAATAGAACAAGTATATGAAATTAAGTTTCTAGGTGTCATAGTTGATGAAAACATTCGCCTGGAAATCTCATATCAGATATATTCAGCACAAAATAGCAAAAAAATATATCGATATTGGCAAGGGTTAGATATATTCTGGACGGGAAAGCACTACGTATTTTGTATTCTTCATTGATTTTACCATACTTAGAGTATGGCGTTGAAAACTGGGGAAATACATACAAAAGCTCACTTCAACCATTGTATATATTACAAAAAAAACGCCCCTCCAGCCTACACCCACCTGAGAGTGGGCTGGAGTGCAGGAAGGGGGCTCGGGGGCAGGGTTAAAGTTCAGAAGACATGTTAAATATGGATTTTCTGCAGAAGAATAAACAGCTGTGTGACTCCCATGGGACAGACAGCCAGGTAGTCACAGGTGAGCAGCTCGTCCTCTGATGACTACTGAGATTGTTTTGGGAGAAACACTCCAGTGTTTACAGAACACACAGGTAAACAGGCGTGTGTGTTTCTCTGTATCAGACACACAACAGCTACACTGCACGTGCAGCACAAACACTGTCCTACACACATGCACCAGTGGAATTAACATGTCACAAAGAAACAAACAAACAAAACAGTCAATACATGCTCCTATAATAATAATTGTACTATTACCTCTACTGATCATACGGATAATATCAAACTATATAATGATATGGACAATACTGGATGTTCAGGTGCAGGACTGTAATCTAAAATCAGGAGGATGCTGAATTTTATTTTGACGTTGTTGCTGCTTGTTAAAGGGAATCGTTTTATTTTGTCGGCCTCACGAACAGGACGTTCTTGTAACTTTCAGACTACATCAATCTTATTTAAACGGATTCCTGCGCGGTCTTGACACTCATGAGATAATTGGCTGCAGCTGTGCGCGTTCACGAGTCGTCGAGAGGAGACAACATGGTAAATAAGTAATTGGCGTTAACGTCAACTGCACATGTCTGCGCGGTTTAAGTCTTATATCGCTCTAGTTACCGGCTAGTTTTAGTTTTAAATCGTTGTAAAATTAAACTGAGTTAGGTGCAGTAAAGTTAACATGACAGATTCATATAAACTAAGGAAATCGGCAGGTGTTTCTGCTGTTTATAGACTTAAATCGCCCTAAAATTAAATGGAGTTTTGTGCACTTAGGCTTTCACGTCAATATAAATAAAAAAATTCATTTAAAAAGATGTTTACAAAATCTGGCGACCTCTGCAGGTGTGTCTGCTAGTCTGTTTACCCCTCTGTCACACAGTGCAGGCTGCAGCACCCCCTGCTGTCTGTCTGCAGGAATTGAAAAATAAAACAGTTAAAATAACGTTTTATTCTTCATAAACACTTAACTTAAAACGTAAACAATTAATTAAATTTGGTGCATTGAGGATATTTAACATTAGTCAGTGTTTGTTGAAAGAGAGGAAACAAGTTTATGTTTTGTGCCAGTTTGACAAGAAGATGGAGGAGTGTCTGCTCCGTGGAGACCCGTCTCGTCTGGTTTCTGTGCTCCACTATGAAGGACTGACCAGTAACGCCCTCACCAGACTGGACCAACTTGTTACCAAGGTAACAGGATCTGGGTCCTGGTCTTGAACTGTGGTTCAGCAAGATTTAGTGGGATTTAAGACTGCAGTGTTTATGTATAAAGCCAGGAGCAATTTATTACCTGGTGGAATTCAAAAACTATTTAATGAAAGGGAAGGGGGATACAATTTAAGGGGTCAGTTAAATTTAAAAATTCATGCTATACGTACAACCAAAAAAAGATTTTGTATTTCTATAAGTGGGGTAAAACTATGGAATAATTTAAGTGTGGACATAAAAAACAGTAAGAGAATTGAGGAGTTTAAACATAAATATAAAGGTACGTGTCAATCAAGATATGGGCAAGAACAGGCTCAATGATTAATCAGCTGTAACACTGTGGGTGTGGTGTATGAATGTTAACACTATGTACTATTGCTACTTGTGTGATGTAGAAGATAATTAGCAAAGTACGTAATTATGTAAGAATGTTAACAGTCTGTAATATTTTTTAGTATATCACTAGCGTGGTGTAGAACATAATTTTCTATGTAGTAATACTGCTTGCAAACCAATGATGGTAAGATGATGTCATGGGGTAGGACTGGATAAGTCTGACTTCTTCCTACTCCGTTCAAGCATGTACTAGGTATAAGCAAATTGATAATGGATTAGCATTTGTGGATATGTGTGAAATTATGTGTGTTGACATATCGACTGTCTTTACATGTTTGAAAGAATAAATCAATCAATCAATCAATCAAATTTAACCTCCAGTAGACTCTGTGATATCCTGGTGACCGGTAGCACCGTCCAGAGGGGAGGAGTTCAAGCTGTATGTGTCCAGGATGTGAGAAATCTTCTCTGCCCTCCTTTTGACCTGTGAGGTCAGGACAGTGATGGAAATGCAGAGAATAGACTCGATGATTCCTCTGTAGAATTGTATCAGCAGCTCCAGGAGCAGGTTGAACTTCCTGAGCCTGCGCAGGAAGTGCATCCTCTGCTGTGCCTTCTTGGCAATGGTGTTGATGTTGAACATCCACTTTAGGTCCTGGGAGGTTGTGAAGCACTTTGGTTAATCTGGGGGTTGCTGAAAAGTGCTATATTACTGATAAGGTGGCCATCCAGCAGCTGAGTAAATGTTATTTGTACCATTCTCAGATAGGAAGTCAGTTAACTCTGTGAGTGACTGACAATGATCCCCAGCAAGTAAAACACCTCAGCACCCTCTAGAAAGATAAATTAATCCAGTCTAAATTTGTAACCCCTGCTCTCTCCCCTGCTGCAGGGAATGACCCCTCTTATGTACGCCTGTGTCCGAGGTGATGAGGCCATGGTCCAGATGCTGCTCGACGCCGGAGCCGACATCAATAGCGAGGTCAGTGTTGACCATCAGTCTGTCAAATGTAATGATGTCACAGTGGTCTCATATTTTTGTTCTTGTCCAATATGTTCATTTACATTTGTTCACATGTACCAGTGAAAACAATGAACCCACTTTGTGCCCCCCCCTTCCCCCATCTCACCTGCTCCCAGCATGCTTTCTGTTCTCCTGCACTGATAAGTAGTAAATGAGGATCATTTGCACAGTAACAATGGTAGTTGGTCTCTATGCAGAGATAAAGTAAAAATTCACTCAGTGCAGGTACTTCATGATCTTTTACACTGTAGACTAACCAACAGGAGTTTGCTTTAAACCAAGTGTGTGCGCTTAGTGTAACTTGCTACTACAAACATGCACTTCATTGCATTTATTTGGTGTTAAACTATAGATGCTAAAAGTTACAGTGACACTATGTCGTCTTAAATCCTGCTGTTGTCTCTGCAGCGTGTCCTCTGTGTGTGTGTGTGTGTGTGTGTGTGTGTAGCAGCTTTTTTTCAAGCATATCCAAGAGCAAATGCTTCATGGGCTCTCCACCACCATGATGGCCTCATTGCTGATTGTTGCAATTGCTTCTTTGGTTTAGTGCCTGTATTCAGTGCAAGTGTGTTGACTCAAAAGCAGAGCACTAGCTGTGTAAATCACCCAGAAGTTAATTACAAATTCTTAAAGGGTCAGTTCATTCGAGTTACAAAAATGATCTTTTCCGGGATTTGTGGTTGAGCCTAAAACTAACAAACAAAACAGAAACACGTCTACTGAATTACAGTATGTACATTTACAGGATTTCCCTAATACAGTAGTACTACAACAGCACTACTGCTTGTAGTATGTGATGAGGCATAGGGTGCTTTAATTATCTTCTAACTGTTGTGAAAGAGATGCCTGATTAAATCAAGGCTTTTAAACATATTCCTTGCTCCAGTCTAAGAGTGCCTGGTCTTTTTTTTAATCTTCTAATTGTGTTTACATTTCTTCATTTACCTTGTGATATCAGGGTATCTGCAGGCCACGAAAAAACTGATAAGCATTTAATTCAGTTTCGTTAAAACAAAGCCTTAGAAAGTATTAAAAAGTCTTAAATTCAACAACAGTCAGTCTTGTCCCTGGCTGCCTGGACTGACAAATTTACTTGTTAGACAGCTAACATGAGTTTCATCTGTAGTATATGTAGGCACTAGAAAACATGACATTATGATAGGGCAAAGAGCAGTTTAGGGATGGTTTATGCTGTCAGCATGTTTTGAGACTTCATAGACTCCAAAGGGCGAAAAGAAATTAGAGTATGTTTAAAGTACTCCTCCAGAGTCGTTCTCCGTTACAATGCCAGTGATGTACTGCCTAATATTATGAACCAGTTAATAATTCATCAGAGTGAATACAAAAACAGTCCCACTGTTGTTCAGCATCAGAGCTCAAATGAAATTGTAGCATTATTTTAAGCATCATTTTGACAGAGGCCTCCTCCAGGCGACACTGAAGATCATTTCAGTAATTTACGCTGGGACAGAACCACTTCAGAAACTCAGAGCAACATCAGGCTGCATGGCTGTTTAATTTTACCCCACCACTGCTTTATTTGTGAGTCAGCACCACTCATCTTGACGGTTGGTCTTTTTCACTGTTGTGTGTTGCTGTTTGAAATTAAATTCTGTATAAAGATGGAGTAGGCAGACAGTACAAAGAGTGGTCCCACATTTGAGGTGAGAGGTAGACTTCAAGCTGCTCAAGATTTTCTGTGAAACTCAAGAGGAAAATCTCCCTCTGCCTCCCGCCCTTCTTTGCTTACACTTCTCTTCCTGCAAACTGCTTCGCACTCCTCCCCGCCCTCCATCTCCTGCCCTGGGCTGTGAATGTTAACGGCTGTATATCTCTCTCCCTGAACTTCACCTATGACTTCCCAGGTGCCAAGCACAGTAAACAAGCACCCCTCAGTTTATCCTGAAACACGCCAGGGGACGCCGCTCACTTTCGGCGTGTTACACGGACACGTCCCTGTCGTGCAGGTAGTGACGTTTATGACCTGTAACCTTTACCATGTGGCCCTTGCCCTGACCTTTGCACCAGTGACTATTATGATGCATCATAATAATAATAATGATGTATGTCCTTTCTATTTCACCTTCTTCCTCCTATCTGTGCAGTGATTATTTTTATGTGGAGAGGACTTGGCTAAGGCAAGCTCTCCAGATGAAGTTTGCTTTTATTAATATACTGTATGTTCTTAAAATGTGTAGATAAGTCACCCAGCCCCTGCTTTTCACCAAAACCGAATCTAAGGACTGGTCCCACAGCAGTAGGGAGTAACATCCAGAGGCTCGCCCAGCCTGATATGCAGCTTCAAGGATACCAGATTTCAGTGTTTTGTTCAGTTCTGTTCATTTGTAATACATAATACAATCTGTTGCAGTAGTTACTCTATGAGCTGACACTGCCTGAAAGCCTGATGAACACCGTCGCCTTCAGGAGTTTTTCAATAATTAATCTTCATCCCCACAGAATTTTGGGGGGGTAGAAAAAGAAACCTTTTTTATTCCTCATTTCACAGCTCAACACCAACAATAGCCTCCACAGACAGAAACTAATGAGGAAGTGTAGCTAGAGTAGGAGTGTGTTTAATGTCCTGAGCTCAGGCAGTTCTAAATGAGGTGGTGCAGGTTTCCAGCAGTTCAGGCTTTTCCTTCTACCCAGTCTGACTGTAACACATTGCCTCCCCCTCAACTGTTTTCTTCCTCCCCACTCCCCATCCTGGTTTGTTCCCCCCCTCCCTTGCTCTCCACTTCTTCCCATGCTTGTCACAGTTATTGCTAGATAACAGAGCGAACGTGGAGGGCGCCCTGCAGGATGGGGCAGAGAACTACACCGAGACCCCTCTACAGCTGGCCTCTGCTGCAGGTAATCACAGACCAGCAGCAAATACATGTGTTCATCTTTGCTTTGCAGACGTGCACATTTGACTCAAGTACTGTTCCTTCTGATGCAGTGTACAAGACATTAGTTATGACATATTTGGTTCCAACTTCACCAGGAGGCACCCTCACTCTGCTTTAATCATCTAATTAATTTATCATTTTCAATTACTCTCAGGGATTCAAGGCTGTGCTGAATGTTAAATGCTGCTTCTCATGGTTGTGCTGCAGTACCTTTATAAAAGAATCTGCAGCATTTTTTTTTCTGTCAAAATTTAAACCAATAGTTTGACATTTTGGGACACTCTAATGTCCAGTAAACATAAAGCCAGAAGTTAGCAACCATTTAGCTTAATGTAGAAGGGAAACGGCCAGGTTAAATCAAAGGCCATTTTTGACCTTGGAAATACTGTAGTAGTTGACACAAAAGTCTCAGGACAAAGTTTAGCAGCTGTTCTGGAAGCTTCTGTTATAATCACACAATCTTCCTTGCTTTGAGATAGTTTTTAACTTTCTGTCTCAACTTTTAAGCTAACATGGGTTAAAGCAATAGTTCAGTATTTTAGGGAAATAAACCCTTTCACTTTAAATTAAATTAGAACAGTGATGCACTTTCATACCTGTTAACTGTATGTAAAGTTGAAGCCAGCAGGTCAATTTAGGAGAAAGAGCGTTATCTTAGTTTAGCATAAAGACTGAAAACAGAGGGGAGACATCTAGTTGGGCTCGGTGCAAGGGCAATGTAACTGCCTTACAAGCAGATGCCTAGCAGCTCACTAATTTACACTTTTAAAACACTGTGGTATTTAACATACACAACTGAACAAGTCTTGTCATCACAGTGAGGTTCGGCAAGTAACCAGAGGAAACCTGAGGAAGTCCCTGCACCCACAAATAGTCCCACACATAAAGCTTTGTACAACCACAAATAGCTGTTTTTACATGTAAATGTTTCTACTGATTCAACAAATTGGCTATATTGTGTAATTTGTAAGCTTCAGAGGAGCTGGTAGGTGATTTATTTCTTCTTTTTTTTTTTTTTTACCCCTGGAGAGAAACACTAGCTGTTTCCACCTGTTTCCAGCCGTTATGCTACGCTAATCTAAGTAGCTGCTAGCTATAGCTGCATATTGAAATATCAGTAGTCGTCTCCATCTTCTCAACTAACTCTCTGCGAAAAAGCAAATAAGAATATTTCCCAAAATGTTAAACCGTTTCACATATGTGCATAATTTATGTTTACATTAAAGATCTCTGCACTGCTATTTTAAATCATCCCAATGAATGTTTTAAAAATTAATTCAAACCTAACAAGTTGACATATAATATTGAATCTTTTTGTTACTGTGAGTAACTGTAGGCAGCCATGTTGCCATGGTAGTATATGGATATAATGCAGAGGCATGGATATTGAGTATTATTAGCATTCTGCTCATTAGCTAATAAATAATTTAGATGAAATAAAGACCACAGTCCCAGAGGTGATTTTGTTAATGAATAGCAGTAAGTGAAAGACTTTCTGAGAACAAAATACTTTTATGCAGATTCAGGCTCATTTTCTGACACCTTCCTGTTTTACTTTGCTGTCACATCAACTTTACTGGGGGAGAAAAAAGCTTGAATAGCAAAGTGAGTTTCCAGAAATTCAGGTTTCCTTCCAGTTTGTTCTAAATGGAGCAGTATCCGAATTGTATCACATTTGTGTTCACTGAATTAGTGCTTGAAATCAGTATTGAAATGACACCTGCAGTAGTTGCTGTTCTTCTAGTGCCTGGCAAAGTGCCTCAGGTAACAGTTCTGACTGGTTTTGTTCTCAACAAATCCAGTCTCACTGCTGTAATCACTGTGGAATTCAGTGTGTGAATGTAAAAAAGATATTTTTTTGTTGTATATTTGAACAGCTACTTGAGGTGCCATCAAAAAAGCTCCCCTTCACTGGTGGAAAAGGTTTTAAGATTGGTACGCCATTTGAAATAAAACCCTGAAATCGTGATTGTATTTGCATTTAATGCATTTAAGATATCAAAAGTTAAAGCATTAAAAGTCAAATCCACAGGAGTGTGATTCATACACACAGTAGAAAGACTGCATCACTTTATTAGAGAAAATAATTCTTGAAATTTATTTAGTGTCTGGGAGCTTTTTACTACCTATATTCACTTACTTTATGAATTACTGGACTGGAAGGTATTTATTGTGTTAAGGTATTTCAACTTCCCTTTGCCTTGTTTTCTGAATGTACATTAAATTAAAGGAATCTAAGAAAGACTGAATTAAATTCTCAAATCAGATGGAAATAAGTGCAGAAAAATAAAATTAGGTTTCAAACATACATGTGTCTTTTCCTTGTATAAAAAGAAAATGATTAAAAACAGAATTTCTAGTAAGATAGAATTTACTGTTGAAGCTGGTACTGGTGGAGCTGTAAAAATAAATACATCCTATGTAACTAGTTTAGTACATGGTTTTGTGTTTGCTTTTACACGGTTGTCAAATAAATGTAGTGGAGTACGAAGTATAATATTTTCCTCAAGAATATAAAGAAGGCAAAATACAAAGTAGCATAAAAGCACATCAAACTTAGCTACTGTGCCTAAGTAATTGTACTTTTTACACCTGCTTTATTCATTTGTCGTATCTGTCACCCTCATTAGGTAACTTTGAGTTGGTGAGCTTGCTTCTGGAAAGAGGAGCCGACCCCATGATCGGGACCATGTGTCGAAACGGCATCTCGTCCTCTCCGCTGGGGGATATGAACTCATACAGCCTGGCAGCAGCACATGGCCACAGGTAGCGCAAGTACTCGCACACACACACAGGGACACACGGGGACACAAGTGAAGTGCCAGCCAGCAGAGAAATATCCACCACCACAGTATTGACCCATTTACACATCTGCCCCTCAAACAGAAGTCCTGCAGCATATGAAAGGCAGATGGCTCATTGCCCTGTCATCGCGCAAGCAACAGTAAGCGCTGCAGTCTATTCGGCAGCACTTACTGTATTCATCTTGACATCATTTCCCTGCAGCTGACTAAGATAAAGCCTATTAACATTCAGGACAGTGAGAGCCGTCAGGCAGCGGAGTGCAGATGCAAGCAACACAATGCAGTGTGTTATTAAGACAATCAGTTATCATATGGTAATCATGCTGCAGTGTGTTGTAAGCAGCGTAACACTGCAGATGGTGGCGTGTAAAGGTTCTCCTAACCTAAACATTGCATAAGAAACCAGTCATCAGGAGGCACACAAACATCTGTCAAATATTTTCAGGTGCTGAGTAACTATTACAGAATTTGTAAAAGAAACCAGTATTTTTGGGAAGACCAGACAAAAGGCTGTCATGATCGTCCACCCTGCTGGAAATAAAGGCACAAAATCTCTAAGCCTGTTTGTTTCTTTGAGATTTGAGATTGATCAAATCCTGATTTAGTTATGGTCTTGATGTGGCTGGTCAAGCCCAGATCTGAGTCAATAAAGATTTCTAACATGCGTTTTGGGATTAAGCCTGGCAGTAACCTCTTTTCTTTCTGTGGCAAAAGGAATAATTTCTGTCTTCTTTTTATTTAATTGAAGGAAATTTTATGTACTTGCTTTAAGCACTGACAGTGAGTTTAAGGGACCACAGTCAATTGGTGAAAGAGTAAATCTGAGTGTCAGCTGCATAACTATGATAAGCAACGTTATTGGCGTGTATAGTCGAACACAGAGGAAGCATGTGTTAGTTTTAATGCACTCTTCAGCTTTTTATATGTGACTTAAGACATATCAAGTTACCTGCTGTATGTTCAGAGCTACATTGGAGGAAAAACTTGTACATTTTTCACAATATGTTTTCTTGTTATCTAACCAAGAGCTGGATGGAAACAATGACACAAATTTGACACAATTATTTTCTTCGAACTTTGTTGTAACAGTTCAGGAAAGGTTCTTTCCATGTTTCAACATGACAGAGCCCCCATGCACAAAGCTAAAGCAATAAGAAATGAACTGAGCCAGCCCTTATTGCCCAACATCAGTGACCAACCTCACAAATTCTCTTGTGACTGAATAGAAGCAAATTCCTGCAGCCATGTTCAACATCAGAAGAGTGGAGGCTGTAGCAACAAATGACATGAAATCTTCACATGTTGGCTATGTAGTGTAGTTCCATAGACACAAGCTGAGAAAATATTCCGGTAAACTGCTTGGATGTACTCTCAAGCCCAAGGGACTATTAGTGGTGATCAAACAACTTTTTATGAATGGCATCAAAGTGACAACTGTGAGCCTCCCACAGACTTGTCATCAAAGATCAAACAATCTCACCACAGAATATGATGCTGCTAAAGCAGATGGTGCAGTGATGGATCTTCAGGCTCTGATCACACTGTGTATGATATGTATTGAAGTCCATTCTTCTCATAGGAGGGCATCTGTTACTGCTGCATCACTCTGTTGCAGCAACAGCATGTTGTGATGTTGAGTGAAAACTAAAAGCTTATTTGTAACATGTTACAGTCTTGTCTTTTATGAGGAGATAATCGATTCCAGCTTCTTGTACTCTACAGACCAGCACAACAGGTTTAGAGTGTGCAATTATGCTTAAATAAATACATGAGTGTCATCACTCAGAGAGATCTAAATGGGTCTAATTCATCCACTTCACAGCTTTTCTTCCTGCCATTTGACCCCAAACCACATATTTTGCACTTTCTCACCATAGCATCCTTCCCTTTTTTCACCTTAAAGCAGTTTCTTATTCTGTTTTATCTCCCTCCCTTCCGTTAATGTCTTGTCTGTGTCTTCATTTTCTCCCTCCTACCCTGTAGGAATGTCTTTCGGAAGCTCCTGTCCCACTCAGACAAGGAAAAGGGGGATGTGTTGTCCCTGGAGGAGATCCTGGCTGAGGGTTCGGATCCTGGGGAGAAGAGGTTGGCTCCACAGGCCAACTGTGGAGGAACCTTGCGAACAGGAAAGGCCAAACTGAGGGCCCTGAGAGAGGCCATGTACCATAGCGCAGAGCACGGCCATGTGGACATCACCATAGACATCCGCAGCTTAGGTCAGATTTACTAATACATGCTTCACTGGCACACATGCCTCGTTCCCTGGCGCCTCCAGCTGTCCTGGAGGTGTGATCATGCTGTTCCTATCCTGTCCCGTCCAGTCCTGTGCTGTCCTCTACACACCCTCAGCAATCACCACTACTCATCCAGCCATGAAACAGGCACAGAAGTAACACTTTTTAAATGCAAGGTGATAACAGCTTAGGTCAAAGGCGTGAACATGGAGATAAAACAATGTCCCCAAACAGAGCTCGTTATGTAGACATAGCAGCCATCAGATTTCACTCCAACATTTTCTAGATCACTGGGTACAAAAACTGATGTGTCCATTTAATTGATGTTGGTAGGGAAAACAATCTCATCACAGTCCAGTAGTTGATCTGGAGCTGTTGGTTGTATCAAGTCTTGAAATTGAAAGATGTTCATTTTCCATTTTTTGAGCACTTCAACTGAATAAGTCAACATTTTGCAAAACTATGCTTAGATGTGAAAATCAATGCCACTGTCAATAAAAGGTAACAAAAACTGCAGCACTTCTAAAATGTACAAATTAACGTGTTATAACCTGTTTGTGTAATCCACTTAAAGCTGTGTAAAAATGAGGCATTGTGATTTTATGGGGAGTTTTTACTGAATATAATGTATAATGAGCTTTAGGATGAGCCAGGCGAACTGTTTCCCTGTTTGCTTTCTGTATGCTAAGCTAAAGGCATAGCTAGCCCTCACCTTGCATTTATTAGACAGATATTTTAGTAAAATCCTCAGTCTCTCAGCAAAACAGAAAATGAGGTTACCCCCAAAATATTAAAATATTTGTCTCTTGAATTTGTCTCCATACTGGTGCAGAAGAGAGTGAAATTCCACCGTTGATCATAGAAATAACAGTTGACATTACAGTCTCACTACAAGCAGGCTTATGTGATACAAATTCTTTTGCTTAATCTTAACACTTGAATTTTTAAAATGTCAAATTACACAGAGTTCCTGCTTTCATGTCATCATTTTTGTTTATTTCATGTACATATCATTCATATTGTTAGACAACATTACATTATTTTTAACAAGTCCTGCCTTTAGGTTGCCACCAGGTCGTCTGACTATCCACTAACACTATCACTGCACTCACGCTTCACCTCGCACTAACCTCATGAAGTGATGGAAACATGGTCGGTTCTGTCGCCCTTGAAACCGCTCAGAATCAGACTCTCTTTGCTGTGTGTGAGCGTGTATTCACTTGTCTGTGTGGTGGTGTTCCCAGGTGTTCCCTGGACGCTGCACACCTGGCTCGAGTCCCTGCGTACCTGTTTCATCCAGCACCGCCGGACGCTGATCCAAGGCCTGCTCAAAGACTTCAGCTGCATTCAGGAAGAGGAGTACACCGAGGAGCTGATCACACATGGCCTGCCGCTCATGTTCCAGATCCTCCGAACCAGCAAGGTCACCGAGGCTTTCGTTCATGTGCATGTAAACAAAATGCTTGTTAGAGAAACATCAGACAAAGTAAGGCTGGTTTTCTGGGAATACAAACTCTTCTGTGCACGTTCTATAAATATATATTATATTTAGTTGCACTCCAGTATTACCATACATTTGCATTACATTTTGTCCTGGATAGCACATGGAAAACAGAGACCACAAAACCCTAATCCATATAATCTGTATCACTTGTGTTGGTGTCTGTTTGCAGAACGAGGTGATCAGCCAGCAGCTATCAGTCATTTTCACTCAGTGCTATGGGCCCTTCCCCATCCCTAAGCTGACGGAGATCAAGAAGAAACAGACCTCGCGCCTAGGTAGGAGAGTTTATGCAACAAATGAAGCTGAATGGCAACGGTGTGAAAGCAGCATTAGAGCTGAAGTAGCAGACAGAAGTTTGTTTTTTTTTAGGTGTGGGGTGTCCATAGAGACTTCATGAAATGTGGCACTCATCTTTCTTTTAAGGCTTTCAAATGGCTTTCTATCAAAAGTGTTTCAAAAATTGAGGTTCATTTTTTTCAAAATATCTTTCGGTGATTCACAACAACAAATATATATAAATCAGACTCGTATGGTTACAAGATTACAGTGAAATTACTCCAGTTTATTAACAAACAACAATCATTTCTTTTTGACATTTGGGAAATATTATAGTGCAACTTCATTTTGGGGGGTTGGCTTTGAAGAGGAGCAAAATATATTATCAAATCACCTTTATGAAAATGATTAGGGAGGGAGGCGGGCCAGAAAAGGGGGAGGGTGTCACGATCTGAAGTTACTTCCTGTGATAGCTTGATTCGGCACATGATCACCATGCACCTTTTTCTCTTTGACTCTTTATATTCACTCCCCTTGTTTTTTTGTCAATGTGTAAAAATGCTTATGTTTGTGGTTTTGTTTCTAAGTATTAGTTGGTTTCCGCCTGTCTACCATCTAGAAAAAAGTGTTTTTAGGACTCACCTGTGTCATGTAAAGTGGGTTTTTGTTACTTTCCTACTTTTCTTATGAAAAGACTTTTCGTCACTTTGAAGAAGGTGCCTTCAGATTTGTGTTTGTTTTGTTACCCTCTCAAAAAAGACCATTCATTCACTGTTCCACTTGCTTGCCTTGGAAATGTTTTGCTCACTGTCTTTTTGCCTTCAGTGCCTTGTTGTGTCATTGCCTTTTCTGAAGTAAGTTGTGGGCTTCTTCATAGAGTTTTTTCCACATTTGGGGCCTCAGTCTTGTATCATGATGGGCGGGGGTTATATTTTCTTTTCAAGATCTCAATACGTTGAATCATCAAAGGCCAGTTTTGGCAAAGAGAGGAGTTTGATTATATTAATGAGTAATTAACGTATTGGATTTAACAAGGTCATAAGAAAATAAGTTTGACTGTAATCATTTATACATATAAAACAGTTGGGCCTAGAGCACAATAAATAGGAAAGGGGCAAGTAATCTCAATAGATTAGATTAACAGAAATTTGGCTTTGAGCATTTCTAATCATATGCACGTAGATTTGTGATCACATGTCACTGATGACGTGATCTATCAGTCTAATCTGGTATTAAAAGCTCCTTTGAAGTTGGGGAGGTCACAGAGGTTTTAACATTTCCACTTTTTCAGATGTTGGTTTTCATTAGAGCAGAAGGAGGCAGGGAAGCATTCGGTGACCATGCTGCAGCACCACCTAGTGTAGACTTTATGTGAGTGTTTGAATAAAGGATAAATGGTTTGTTATTTTGTGCCTGAAGAGAATGAAAGCTTTAAAAAGCAAATGAATTCATCAGGAATGCACAGTGATGCACTATAGCAACCTTTTGCAACACTGATACCTGAGCAGTGAATCACCCTTGGAGTAATAAATGACTATGTCAGCTTAATCTTACTCTGTTTGCTGTTTGGCTGGATCTTACTGCCTTCTTCTCTTTTGCAGACCCTCACTTTCTGAACAATAAGGAGATGTCTGATGTTACTTTCCTGGTGGAGGGGAAACCATTTTATGCACATAAAGTGTTGCTGTTTACAGCTTCACCCAGGTAAAAGGAGACTTGACCTAATGTAGCACTTTACTACTATTTCTCTCTTTTTTTCCCAAATGAAAAATGTGCAGTGAGCTACGCAGTTAACTAACTTTTCCATTTAGGTTCAAGTCGCTGCTCCAGAACCGACCAGCAGCTGAGAACACCTGTATTGAGATCAGCCACGTCAAGTACAACATCTTCCATGTGAGACTGTTAATGTACTATTTTTTGCTTTTGCTAATGGAGTCCTGTGATAGGACACAACCCAAATCCATGATCATGTTTTGGTTGTGTTTTCAGATGGATACTCCATTAGTTGCTCCAAATATGGATTTTAGAAGCCAATACCAATATTTGAAAGTTTATAAATCCCATACCAATATACTGTCATCCAGTATTTTTGAAGAGCTGTGACAATCATATGAAGACACCCCTGTTTCTAAATAACCTCAAACCTCATTTACCTCATTTCTGTACTGTCACATGTTGTTAAAGCAGAAGTCTGATATTTTATATTGTTCTTATTATCAACTAAATCAAAAGAGCACTGTTAGAAACATGTCAGTGAGTCGTGCTGTTAAATTGAGTGACGTGTTCCTTCATCTCTGTAGTTTGTTTTGACTTATACACACATGGTTCTGCTGCCAGAAACACTCACTGCACCACCAAATGTGTATTATTGATCGGCTACTGAAAATAGTCCCCAACAAATAAACTATTTTAACTTGAGTAACCTAAAAACTAAACTGGCCAGCTGTTTTGGAAAATAATTTAGCTTTTTTTAAAAATAAAACTACACATACAGTAGCTACACAAACGGGGCGACTTAAAAGATGAGCCTCTTTTTGTGGGACTTGTTGACACTAACAAAATACAGAATATTGCCAGAATGATCCTTTTTTATTATCTGACATGCGCATATAAAATTAATTTAAAAATACATTAATCTGATGGTTATTTTTCAAGTAATACATTCTGTAATTTGTCGAAAAATAGTTAAATTATACAAGTTCCCTGACCCAGAATGCCGGGGCCAGTTAATAACATAACAGAGTAATAAATTATCAAAATTACTGTTGATCAACTTTCTGTTCATGACTATTTAGTTTAGTGGCCATTATTGTTCTGTGAGACTTTTTACGTTTGTCAGTAGTACAGCCTGGTTTTGGTTTGTATTTTTCCCACTCTTAATATATATTGTCCATACTGAAATCTATATAACTGATGTCAGTTGTATGAACAGAGCCCAGTAGGTATATCTACATTTGGAGAGTATACAGAAATATTAGTAAAACTGTAATAAAAGGGAAATTAAACCCATAAAATGAGCATAGACTCCACTGTTCTGTGTTTCAGCTGGTCATGCAGTATCTGTACTGTGGAGGCACTGAGTCCTTGCACATACGCAACACTGAAGTTATGGAGGTAAGAGAGACTCAGCTAAAGCCTGCTGAGCAACAGCACAAGTCTTAGCATCTTTAATCCCCAGTGCTGTGCCTCATTCTGTCTGGCTGTACTGTTCCCTGCAGCTCCTGTCTGCAGCCAAATTCTTCCAACTAGAGGCCCTTCAGAGACACTGTGAGATCATCTGCTCCAAGAACATCACCACCGAAACCTGTGTGGACCTCTACAAACACGCCAAGGTGAGAAACTGTCTCTGGCAGCTGATAATGGACCAATGGAGAACGGATCATTTCATTAATAATAATAATTTGTCATAAAATGTCACTGTAAACTTGCCAGATAGTAAGAAACAAATGCTAATGGGATAAAAAAAAAAGATGCTAATATAACAATCAGCAATAAAGGATAATAAAATAAATTCAAATAAATGTCATTCTTACTTGAAGGGTATGCTTATTTAAAGATGCTTTTTTTTCCCACTGTCTTGTTAACAATGGGTCAAATGAGTGCTTACAAGTGAAGGGTTTGCTTATCTTTGTGCACCATCTTTGTTCGACGTAGTTCCTCGGTGCCACGGAGCTTACAGCTTTCATCGAGGGCTATTTCCTGAAGAACATGGTGCTGCTGATTGAACTGGACAGCTTCAAGCAGCTTCTGTACGAACCTCCTCCCGCCGAGAGCCCCGGGTCCAGCCCCGTCATCTGCTCCGACATCCTCCACGACCTGGAGAAGACTCTGGCCACACGCATCCACTCCATTCACCTGTCCGCCTCCAAGGGCTCCGTGGTGTGACGCCGTCCTCCCGGAGCCCTCGGCTCCAGCCCCAGCATCCATTTAATATCCAGCATCCTGCTATACATCCTCGTCCACCTGTTGTGACCCCGCTGCTGAAGATGAGCTCTCGGGTGTTTTTATGTCAGGGATTCCCTTTAATTCTGCCTGTCGCAGCCAGCAGAGGGTTCATTTGCTATAAGTCACAAACCCAGAGAGAGCTCTGTCATCCCAGTGGCTCCCAGCGATCACTTCACACACATATAGTAAGAAAAAAACTGACATGACCCAGCAGCATCACTTAGTCTGATTATAAAACTTTTTCTTGTATTTCATATAGGATACATGCATGAAGGACACACTGTAGACCTTTTTGCTTAAAAAGGTAGAGTAATATTTTAACTCAGTAGAAGCAACTTTCTCATGATCTCTGATATAAGACTTTGGTTTGCAAATAACTATGGAAGTTGGTGCCATTGCAGTATAAAGTCTGACACATGCCAAAACATAAATATAACCCCTCTATACAACCAATAACAGTCGCTAGTAGCAATGCCAGCAGAGGAGCCTTTACACTAGGTGAACTTTTCTGAACTTTACATTTCATTCTGTCACTTCTCTGTTGGATGCATTTCACTGTGTTGTATCTACTGTGTGCAGAGGCCAAACTGATCACGAACATCCACTGCAGCGCTGACTGTACTCACAATGGCCCACTCAGTGAAATCTATGCTGACTTGAAAGATGGACATCCAACTGGGAAATTAACTTGCGATAACTCCACTAACACTGTTGACTTTTTTGCATGGCCCCTCCTCAACTGAGCTGCCCCAGTGTTGCTTTTTATGCAGAGCTTACTTCACGGACCGCTTTCACAAGGGGAAGTAAGGGAAAACACTGCTTATTAACTATATACTGATGGCAAAACAGAGGAGACTGAGCGGGACTCTGAGATGGATGTCGATTGGCAGGGACTTTTTCTTTAAAGATATTTAAAGCAGAATGTAAATATGTCTTGAAAGTCTTTGTGCTGGTCGTTCTGTTTTTGTAAACTGATGTACAGTATCCTCCTACACTCGCTTGACTGATGACACCAGTCTTACTGAACGTGCTCCTTGAACAGTTTGTTCCTGCTCTGTCTTTGTTTATGCAAAGGTGCATGTTGACTCTGTTCGTATGACTCCTTAGTTTCGCTTTAGATGTGCTATCTGTGTAGATGGGTAGGCCTGAGTAGGGTGCCGATTGTTCCAGGTGAAGGTTGCTATTTCTGATACATTCCAAATTATCAGGGTAGATCACGAGATAAATTTTAATGTCACTTTTTATTTTAGACTTCACCTCAGCTGAATTTCTCAATAACATCAGAAACACTCGCACTCTGTCAGCACTGAGTTTATTTGAGACACAACATAGACAACGTTATGGGACTCTCAGAATACACCCCACCACCTGCCCACATGTTTTTATCTGCTTTTTAAATCTGCACATAAAAACATCTCAGTGGAAATTCTGGACCTTTGGGAAAAAAAAAAAAATCACAAAATCTTCTGCTCCATTGAGGAGAATAAACATCTTGGCAGACAGAAGCATCACATCTGTGTGAAGCCATGAGGAAGCTTGTCAGAAATATTATATCTCCATCATTTCATTCATTACACCATCTTGGAAGGATTTAATAGCCCCTCGCTGCAGAATTAATGCCACCAACTCTTTATCATGATGAACCAACTCCTAATATTCACATAACAAAAGCTGGTGGAAACCGCTTTAAAATTTGCACAAAATAAGAACAGACTTGTCTGCAGCTGGAGCACTTGTATAGCTTGGAAAAGCATCAGGACAAAAATGTTTAAACTGTTAGAAAAATGATTGTTTTTTTTGTTTTGTTTTTTTGATAAAAGGTGAAGGTACAAGCCTTTTTATATACAGTATGTGGGAGAAGTTAACTACAGCTCCCAAGGAGCACTTTAGCAAGAAACATGGGATCACTGAGCCTAAAGTTCTGTCACACTAACAGGTGGGAGATGAGGCTTACACCGACAACACAACCTGTGGGTCAATGTGTGGTGAATTCAGTTACTACAGTGCCCTGTTTTGTTCACGAGTTCAGCGATGAAGCATTTAGAATTTGCTACATCTCTGACTTTTCTTCCATGACGACAGCATGTATAGAGCCACCAAACTGAGACAGACACACCTGGATTCCTCAGATTTCTCAGGAGGACGTATGAGCTGTCTCTGTGAAGCAACACTGAAAATGTCTTTTAAGAAAATTTGAAATAAGAATGCAGAATTGAACAGTCATCAGTTCATACTGTGAAACAACACATCTTGATACTAAAGCCAAAAGGGGGGGG